GGCACCCCCCACATGTGGCTAGGGTGCTTTAAACCCCTGCTTTAAGATGGTCAGTTCTGCCACACTCATCTCATACCTTCTAGCCAAACGGAAGAAGAAGCTACAAGGGAGGTGAGCCCCGATCCCAGCCGGAACGTGCACGATGCTCAGGCCGCCGACTCCAGGTGTCCCTCCTCTGACCTGTTGGCACGGCAGGTGTTGGCAGCGGGGCTCTCGTGCGCTGCTCACCCGGCCCGTTTCTTCTTGCACGTCATTTGCCCTTTTTCAGTTGCTAGAAGGCGATGCCAGGCATTACCTTGGGTTGGGGCATGCTGTTTCATTAGCAGAAATGAGGCAGACGCCTGCCTGTTCTACCACATCTTCTCAAAGAGGCAGCAGGGACCTCTTCAGTTCTCCCTGACACCTTCCCTCTCCTTCCACCAAAATGGATGGAATTTGACATCTCAGTAAATGGTTCTAATAACTAATCATTTTCTCACATTCAAAGCAAGGTTTCTATGAATCTTGCTTAAATAATAACATGCTTTAGTTGGGACCCTGGTGATTGAAAGAAGAGAATTTAAAACCTACAGCTATAACAAGTTATCCCCAGACCTAGTGGCTTAAACCAGCACCGTTTTATTATTATCTCGCAGAGTTCCGTGGGCCGGGGGTTTAGACCGGTAACTAAGAGCAAGGGCAGCTTCTGTCAGCCGCGGGGTTTCTGGAGATGCAGCTAGGCCTGGAGCCCTCTCTCTCTGTCCTCTGTCAGTGTGGTCTCTCTCGTGTGGCATCCTCGGGGCAAGTGCACTAGTACACGGTGGCTCGGGAGGCCCAGGCTGCAGGGCTTCTGGTGACCTGCCCTCAGCAATCCCAAATGTGCCTTTGCTCACATTCTGTGGGTCAGGCAAGTCTCAGAAAGCTGGCCGAGATCCACCGGCTGGGGAGTTAGATCCACCTTTCAGTGGGAGGGCTATCAAAGTATTTTTATCTATTTGATCTACCACAAAACCTTAATATGATGTTGTGGTTAGATACTAATGTTAGTATTCAAAGTCTCATTTGATGAGTGTAAAAAAACTCCTGAAGAAGTTAGTAAATTAAGAAAAAAAGCTAAGAAATTCTTAATTTCTTTATTTTTTAAATAGGGAACGTCTTGGTGTTTTTAAATTTAGTTTGCATCAAAGGACTAGAGGAAACATGCAGAACATTGTTAGATGAGCTAAAATAAACTCCATCTACAGCTTGACCTTTGTTAAAGTAAAAGGAGGCCAGTGTGACCTTTGTTCTCCATGGTATGTTAGAAGAGTCTCTTTTGGATTGTCCAGCCACTTGACTATTTCAGACTTTCCCCACATTGGAGAAACCTCAAGTCTATAATGGCGTTGGATTTACATGTATAAAAGTTAAATGTGAGTAATCTCTGGAATGAACGAGCTGTCCGGCCTGCCTGTGTTACGTGACGTGGATTTGCGCTAACCAGGAGCTCTTAGAGGAGGCACGCCTTAGGACAGAAAACACTTTACTCCGATGAGTTACAGAAGGGAGGAGAGCACACACATTCTAATGTTTGTGTTCCTGTGCATATTTTTTGCGGGCTTAGAATTTTAAAATTTCATTTCTTAATCCAAGCAGAGAAAAATTCTCCACTTTTCACTTGGTTCTGACACTTTCATCTACCTAGTCTTTGTAAAATGCCAATTCTGGCATGACCTCTATAGTGTGTTTTCCTGGGAATCTGAACTTAATAGAGAAAGCTGGTGTAATGCCTCTCTGTAAGATTCCATTAAACCAGTGGCTCTCAGATTTTTATGGCACCCTTCCCCGTACTCAGAGTAAAGGAAGCGTATGTGACATGTGGAAAGGGGAGACAGCAGAACAGAGAGCCATTCACTCTTGGGACCAGTAAACTTGATTCTGACCTCTGAAGCTCACGAGGCATTAGATTAAATTTTTTTTTAAAGATTTTATTTATTTGTCAGAGAGGGAGTGAGAGTGAACAGCACAAGCAGGGGGAGTGGCAGAGGGAGAAGCAGGCTCCCCGCTGAGCAAGGAGCCCGATGTGGGACTCGATCCCAGGACCCTGGGATCATGACCTGAGCTGAAGGCAGACGCTTAACCGACTGAGCCACCCAGGCGTCCCATTAGATTAAATTTTTATTAAACTGATAAAATTGTAAATTTTACACAGTTTCTAAATTTAGTCTAAATGATTTTATAGCATTGATGCACGCTGAGATGTAGGGTGGGAGAAGACTTAATTAGTAGGTATTTCATGGGTTGATGAACTTAAGTCCTTGGAAAGACACTCATACTCCATTTTTCTCCCTAGGTTATTAAACAGGAGGCCTTTTCGGCTGTTAAAATGTGTAACTTCAGACTTTAAAAATGTGACTTTGACTGTGAAGCAGACTACTTTCTCATGGTTGCTTCAATATAATATTTGTGGAGGCAGCATAATACAATTATTTTTAAAATTTTTTATTGTAAAATGTATAACATAAAATTTGCCATTTTAACACCTTTGTGAGTGTACAATTCAGTAGCATTCACATTCTTTTTTTTTTTAAACAGTTTTTTTTTTTTTAAAGATTTTATTTATTTATCTGACAGAGAGAGAGAGACAGGAGAGAGGGAACACAAGTAGGGGGAGTGGGAGAGGGAGAAGCAGGCTTCCCGCTGAGCGGGGAGCCCGATGCGGGGCTCAATCCCAGGACCTTGGGATCATGACCTGAGCCGAAGGCAGCCGCTTAACTGACTGAGCCACCCAGGCACCCCTAGCATTCACATTCTTGTGCAACCATCACCACCATCCATTTCCAGAACTTTTCTTTTATCCCAAACTGAACCTCTCTATCCATTAAGCAGATACTCCTATCCCCCCACCCCCGGCACCGGTAACCACTCTTCCACTTTCTGTCTCTATGACGGAGACCGTTCTAGTACCTCATGTAAGTGGACTTGTACATTCTTTGTTCTTTTGTGCCAGGTATTTCACTTAGCACGATGTCCTCAGGACTCATCCATGTTGTAATATGTATTCAAGTTTTATTCCTTTTGTAGGCTGAATAATACTCAGTTGTGTATATATGCCACATCTTGTTTATCTGTTCACCCAACAGTGGACATTTGAGCTTCCTTCCACCTTTTGGCTATTGGGAGTGACGCTGCTGTGAAAAAATTATTTGTTCAAGTCCCTCCTTTTGCTCAAGTCCCTAGCTTCTCCACCTACGAGTGGAATTGCGGGACCACGTGGTAACTCTGTTTAAGTATTTGAGGAACTGGTTCGCTGTCTTCCGCAGTGGCTGCACTATTTTCCTTCCTACCGGGTAATGCACAAGGGTTCCGGTTTCTCCACATCCTCACCAATAGCTGTGCTCTGTGTTTTTGGAGAATAGCCATCTTAATGGGTGCGAGGCTGTATCTCATTGTGATTTTGATGGGCATTTCCCTGATGAAAACTATTTGTGGGTTTTTTTGCATATTTTGCATTTGTATTCAAAGGTGTTATTTTTAATTTATGAATCATGAATGAGCAGTGTAGAAAAATACTCTATAAAAATGGTTGACATATTCAGCTAAACTTCTTCCAGTTAACACAAGTATTTGAGAGGATTACAGTGCTTTATTTACATTGATTTTTGAAATACTTATAGCAGTGTTAGGCCAATGCTGTTTTATGACTTTGTGGTAAATGATTATAAGGTCTGGATTAGGATACAGGTAAATTTGTTGTTGCTAGAAGAATTCTCATGGTCTACCTTTTTTAAATCATTAATATTGAAAGTTGGTGAATGCCATCATGCTAAATGTTTTGGAAGTTGGATGTTGTTGAAGAGATCTGTGCTGTCCTTCTCATTAAGTGGTTCTGTGTAGACAGATGCTTATTTCCTTGGGTTTCTACAGGAAGACAAGCTATATATAAGGCTGAAGCTTAGCTCCCAGGAGTCTCTGATGTGATGCTTTATTCCCAGAAATGGAGCTGTCAACGCGCAGCCCAAACCTATTGTCAGGCCAGCATGCATGATTGGACAGTAGAACAAAATATTTTAAATTAGGATTCTTGGAAAGTGTTGGGTTTTCTGTTTGTTTCATTTCTAAATTGACACAATTTTAAAAAATTAATGTATATTATTTATTGCACATTGGTCAAATTGTAATTGTTGAAACTGGGGTGGTTTGTTCTGAGTAGTATTTTGAGATTCTGAACATGAAGGAGTAAGGTGTGTGTTGTGATAAACAGCAGTTCTAAGGCTGTTTTATTTTTTTGGCTTAATCAGTGTGTTGTTGGAACCGTATATACACGGCACTGCTTCAGTTCTAGAGAGCTGTGTGTGAGATAAGCAGGCCCTTCCTGACTCCAGGCAGCAGTTCTCCTAGGAGTAAAACTTCTTCCACTTTACTGAGGATAGTGATTGGCTGAGCAAACTCAGATTTAGAGCACTCAGTTGCTATTAGGTGGTTTAGCATGACTAATGGTAAACCCGCTGTCCATACTCATTCTTGTTCAGAAAGATTTGGCAGATATTGATGATAACCTTTTGTAAAACTTTTTCCTACCAAAGCATCTTGTTAGACCATCACTACAATCAAGTAGTGAATAAAAATTACAGTAATTAATGTAAAAAATAAAATTCCCATATATGTAGGGGGTTAGCTATCCTCTTTTATCTGTGTTCCTTTGATTCTGGTTCACTTTGGTTCAAATTGACATCACTGGGAATTCTGAGTAATAATGTGCTGCATGTCCCAAGAATACTGGGACAGTAAATAATTGATAGAATATTACTGTGAAGTGAAGATAAATATTGATATCAATAAATATTGATTCCTTTTTCTTAGTGGTGAATGCCAGTTTGTGCCTTTCTGCCCTTAACGTGTAATCACCTATTTGATCTCTAAAAATTGCTGTTAAAGTGGTCACTGTTAAAAGTGTAAGATTTTAATCTGGTTTATTTCTGTGGAGTTGACTCTTCTTGGTCTGTGGAGTAGATTAACATGTGCCCCTCTTTCTCATCTAGAATGATTCTGCTCATGGTGATTACATGCAAAGTAATGAGGCCAGTTTACTAGAACAAGCCCCAATACCTCATGATGGACTTCCTGTGGCACCTCATAGAACCCAGCGAGAAGGTATGTTTGTTTTTTGTAAACTTACAGGAGAAGGTTGCAGAGTGCTATTTACCTTGGTTAACTCTAATTCTTCTCTTTTTTGGAGTAGAGAAATCCTACAGGTCCTAGGTTTGGCTCAGGCACCAGTCCCCCACTTTCTCGAGTCTTCATCTGGGCTCCTGCTTTGCAACACTTGGCCCATCCTGGCTTGTGCTTACTTGGTTCTGCCTTGCGGTTGGTTGTCTTAAATTTAGTTGGATACTGTCAGAGGGCAAAAACCTTAACATTTTCCCGAAGTATTTGGCGTAGAGTGCTTTATCTGGAGAATGTGCTCAGCATTTCCTGAAAAAAGAAATTTTACGGAAGTTCACTGTAAGAAAGTGAAGAAATTTCTTACAAGCCCATGCTTCCTGCAGTAATACAGATTTCAAGAGGGCTGGGATGGGGGAATTGAAAGGACATTTTCATCTGAAAAGAAAGGAGTTCAGATATTCACTTCTCTCCATATTCGGGGAGTCCATTAACCTGAGAGGAAAATTGAAATGGAAAATGTAGATGCCCCCCGGGGAAAGTGTGGGCAGTAAGCATCACACTCCGTTATGGCAGCTTTGAATCAACATCATTTTGCCTCCTTTCAGTCCCAACAATAGTCCTTTTTGTGTAATACATTTTTCCTCACAGAGGAAAAATAGGTATGCATGTTTAATGTTTCAAATAAAGTCTACATAATTACCTATTCCATCCTATTCAATGAAACTGCTTGAGTCATAGCCTCCTTCAACCACACTCACTACACATGCGAGTGACCTGAAGCAGAGTTTGCTTTTACAATGAAGGTCCTTTTTTTTTCCCTTTTTAATAAAAAATTATTTTAGAAAAACAAAAAACTACATCAAAGTGCTAACACCCGCAAGATGGTACTATAGATGATTTTTCTCATGTTCTTTATTATTAAACAAATGCATGTGATCTCTGCTGCTTAGTTTTAATTTGTGAGGGCTGCAGCGTCTCCCTTACCCCGGCCATCCCTCACCGTATTCTTTTGTCTTGCTCATCTTGATTCTGAGAGATCATGGCAGGTAGAACGTAAAATCAAGGCTGAAGACACAGCCATATTCCCTTACTGCAGAATGCCCTAGTGGTCCCCTGCCCTTAGCCCACTGATTCACAGAAGTAGAGCTGCTTTGTATTTTCTGAACATAGATTAGGTCAGATGGTTTTGATTAAATAGCATCATCCTTTATCATAATTTAATAGAAAAGGTTTTGAAGATGGCAGACCCTCCCTGCCCCGCTTTGGCCTTGGTTGTACTGCAGCAGTTTTGAGGAGTTCAGGCTTCCAGCCTGGCTTTGGAGATTTTCTTTTGTTTCCATCCTCAGCATTTCTCACCCATTGAGGGGACATGATCCTAGAAGCGGGCCACCAGACACCATATATTTGGAAAGTTGGCACAAAATACTGGTAGCAGTATCTCCTTAGTCTGTTAGGAATGTTTGCTTTCCAGCAAATTTCTGTATCTTACGTTTCCTGCTTTCTCATTGCTCACCATCCGTGATCTAGAACAATCTTAATTCCCCTGTCTACTTCTATTACTTTGTGTATTCTCCTTCATCTATTTTAACTTCTTTCCCTCCAAGTAAATCCTTTCCTTTTCTTCACCATCTCCCAGACCCGAGCCTGTGGAGTCCCTCTCCTGACTCCCCTGTGACCTTTGTCATGTTCATGACTACCAGTCTCATTATTGCTTACACGCTGTTTCTTCTGTTTGAGCAAGTTTCTCTTGCCTTTTTTTTTTTTTTTCCCTCAAGTCCCTATATTATGGTTAGTAGACTGGCTCTTCTCAATTTGTAAAGATATTTACTTCCTGAAAGATGATATTTTTATTGAAGGATGTGTTAAATGAGTAGTTCAGGAGTTTGTGCATTTGTTTACTTCATTAACAAGCTGACATCTTACCTGGGTCAGTTCAGAATTACTCATGTAACTTATGACCACTGTTTTATCTGTGTAATAGATTTGTGAAAATTTTTGTCATAGTGAACCTTCATAGTGAAGTTCATTCATAACGTTAAGTTTGTAATACCATTATATGATATTAAGGGTCGTGTTGAGAACAACAATTTATAAATTCCCAATTGGAAAGAAATTTTTATCAGTTTTATATACTTTTGAAAGTTTTTTTTTCAGTTTAAACAAAAACTTAGATATTTTCTAGTTTATACCTACTATGCATAAAAACTTGAATAAAGTGCTGTATGTGGTAATTGGAATAATGGTTTTGAAGATGATCCTCTAGAAAAATAATCTTTACTGTAGGTGTATTTTATTTATTTATTGGTGCTTAACAGGATGTTTGGAACTACTGAGTACTTGGCATGCTGAATGGATACAGAAAAAAATTCACGGATGAACGGCACATTGCTATGCTTCTACACTTTTTGGTTTTATTTCATGATTTAAGGCCAGTAGTAAAGATGAAGCTAAATAGCTTAATCGTTTTGTATTTGTCAGATTGGGTCACTGAAACCTGCATTTAGTCTCTGTAGAACAAGTCTGCGTGTTTTCTTTCTTTCAGCCGTGCACATTGAGAAGATAATGTTGAAAGGAGTCCAGAGAAAAAGGGCTGACAAATACTGGGAGTACACCTTCAAAGTAAGCCCCTCTGCCCCCAACAGATGTCTCATGTACCGTGGTAAATGACTTTTTGGGAAAAATGAAAATTGATCTTTGGAAAAAACTTACAGCAGGTTTGCTAATTTAAGAAAAAGCTGTACGTAGACATACGTTTGTCCTAATTAAGGGACTGTCCTGTTTTCAGTATGTGCTGCATGGTTTGCCAAGGTTTTAACTGTATCACATTAAAGTTACTCTGATGATTTTATAAAAAAAAAAAAGTAAGAGCCTTCGATTTGAGGTGTAAGATGTATCTTTTAAAGTAAAAGTAAACATTTTCACTAGTATTTTTTTAAATCAAGATCACGGGCATTGTCTTTTCCTGGCATGGTTTCCCTGATATCTTTCTCCTCCTCTTCTTTGTCCACAAAGGCTATTGGCCTTTGTTCCTTTGTCTTCCTCTCTCTGATTGCTTTCCTGTCACTCTGTCCTCAGACAGCTAACTAACCGTAGAGTCCAGCTTTGTCATTCCCCATGTCTCCTTTTTGCCTGTTGACTGTCATGCGGATTCCTTGTCCATGTCTTCCTTACTCCTCCCTGCTTGGGCTTCACTGTCTAGCCCTTTCTCCTAAGGTTGGACTGAGCGCCTTGAAGCCAAACGGACCGACGCCACGTGTCTGTGCTCCCTCACTTCAGTTCTTCCCCAAAGGTATTGCTTGCCAAACTTCAGCTCTGCCTTTCTCATGAAGTCATTACTGATCCTCCAGCAGAATGTGTTTCCATTCATTCATGGTATCCTCCCATCACCAGTTTCACAGAGTCTTCTATTTAGGTGACATGTTTTTCCTCTCCAGTAGGTTATTAGCTCATGGAGAGCAGGACTCTTCATCCTCTGTCATCCCACCATATCCAACTTGCTTAGTACATTTGTTGAATGAATTTCAGAACTTTGGCTTCTGCTCTGTGGGGGAAGTAGCCTCAGTTTGCAAATTTTAAGTCCTTATCTCCACATATTTCACTGAACATTTTGGTAACCCATGGCACAAGCCACTGTGCTCTCTTCATGCAGTTACACGAGTTCTCCTTTTGTTGCTGGAGCTCTTAGCTTGTTCCTTCCTCCAAGCCTTTGTCATCCCCAGCTCTGGAACAATCTTCCCCAGGCCATGGCACAGCTCACATCCCTTCAACTCCTAGGCTGGCTCAGATGCTCCCTCCTGTGAGGTCTTTCTCGGCACCCTTCTGATGTGCTATCCTGCTCCTGCACCACGCCCTGTTCATTTTCTCTGGAGCCCGGATCCCTGAGGGGAACTCTTAACTATTCATTTGTGGTCATCTCTCTCATGCACCAGACCCTGAACCTCAGCCAGCAGAGACTTTGGCTGTCTTGTCCACTCCTGTGTCCCTTTCACTGAGAACAGTGTCTGACCCAAGTTAGCTGCTCAGCGAACATTCGAATAATTAAAAATCATTTAAAAGATGTGCCAGTTAATAAGGATATTTGCTTTGAGGATTGGTAGATACAATTTCATACCTATTTTGAACTATCTGATTAATAACGGTATGACTAGCTGATAAGACTTAGGTATTTGCCTAGTGCAAGTTTTACTTGGCTCAAATAATTGTAAAGTAGAGATTATTAGCTGGCCGCCATCAAGTCCACTGAATTAAAAGCGTCCAAGAGGTAAAGTGGCACAACAGATTTCAGTCTGGCTCTTTTGCTTACTTAGGGTCAGATCTAAGTAAGTTACTCTTAGAGTTTTAGTTTCTCCATCTGAAAATGGAGGTCATCATACCTGCCCCATCTACCATAATAGAATTTTAAAGAATTGAGATAAAGATGAAATCTCTTCATAAGCCATAAATCCCATAAAAATACAATGTAGTACTATCAAAGAGGGGCAGTAAACTCTAGTTATTTCTCTGAAGAATTTATATTTAATAAGTTCCAGGAGATAGAATTTTTATCTTTCTTGGTATATAGATCTATACCGTGAAAAGTGTCATTTTAGAGTCCTACAACTTTTCCTTTCTGAAAAATTACAAAAATGTAGTCTTATTGTAAAAGACAACTTTCTAACAAAACCATGCAATTTGAAAGGAATTATTAAAAAGTTTTTTGAGTAGACTATGTCAATGTACCGTTAACTTTAACGATTTTGAAGAAATTACGACAATGCCAGGTTAACTTTATATTTCTAATTGTTAATCTTAATAAAATTTAAGTAAGGCCCTTTGTTTTACACATGGCTTTTTTTCAGCCGGTTTCCGCCTAAGAAATAACCATACAATATGTGTGTTTTTTTTAAATTAGGTAAACTGGTCTGATCTTTCAGTCACAACAGTAACAAAAACCCACCAAGAACTACAGGAATTTCTACTGAAGGTAAAAGTATAGATTTTGTTGTTAAAATGATTTTTACGTAATATATAGAATCCAGAAACCTCAATATCAAAACAGACACCAGGAAGATGTAACCACATATGTAGAGGTTGACTTAGAATTCTCCATGAACATTATCTGTAGAAAATGTCATGTTATTCTAAACCGAACTTTTCTTATGTGACCAATACAAGGAAATGAAGGGTTTTCCACATGAAAAAAAAAAAATGGAACCTTATTCCTAGTTCCTTGCCGAGGTATATATTAATGGTGGCTGTTTGCAAGGGTACTTCCTGTGAAAGGGTGCGTCTGCACGATGAGAGGAGGCTCGTTAGCCTTGTTGTGTTCTGAGACCTAACAGCTCTTCAGCTCCCTCTGTGGACTTCCTTAAATCCATGTCGATTGGTTCCTTCTTCGAGTTCCGGCTTCCCCCTTCCCTCCCCCCAGTGATAGACTCTCCAGAGTATTGAGAATGAGGGATAATGGGAACATCTTACACAGACTTGCAGAGGTAAAAGGTATCTTAGATCAATTTGGTCAAACTCTTGCCTGTTTCTTTAACACTAATTCTATTTTATTGAAGCGTGTATGGGTAGAGCTAAATATTAAAAGAAGGAAATGGGTTTAAATGGTTAACCAGTACCTTACTATTTCTCAATAAGCCAATATATTTTAAAATGTATTGCTAATAAGGAGATAGAAAGTCCAGAAGCAGGAAACATTCCCACTCCATTACTAACTTTTGGATGAAGATGGATGTAGTTATTGAACCTATGACATCAGAAATTTTCAGGACTGTGCTAGTTTCTAAGTTGTGTGCTTGTCACCATAAATTTATTCTTTCAGATCATGTGGGTCTCCATTCTGAAAGCTAAAAGACACTCTTTGTCGCCAGCTTGCAGAGCTTTGAGCAGCATGGCAGGTGCTGGCTCTAAGGAGGACATAGTGTGATGTGTTATCACAGTGTTAGTCCGCTAATAGGGATAACTAATACCCAGGGACAACTTGAATATTTTCCTGCAGCTTATTTTAACCAACTGAGCCACCCAGGTGCCCATCCTGCAGCTTATTTTAAACTGGGCCCTCCTGGTTAAGGCTGGAGAGCTCCTTCTGCCACTTCAAGATGGTGACCTAACTGCATGCAGAGATGGGGGGGTCGTTAATTTCCAGTTGCCAAAGGTCCTACGCATATGACCTGTCCGCAGTCGACAGCATGGTGAGGAAGGAGAGAGTGGTGGAAGGACTGGATGCATGAGCACTGTCCTCCAGAGAAGAGGGCCGTTAGCTCCCCGGAGAAACTAGCGCCTGGCTAACAGTCTGCCTGTTGAAGAAACTAGGAAGGGCTGTCCCGCACCACCGCCAGCCCTGCACTTTTAAAATCTCTTCTATTTATAGCTGACTTCTCTGTCTGAGGAGAATAAATTCATCAAAGTTTAAGGGCAAGTAGTCATGAACCGCTGTCCTACAGGTCAGAGAGCAACATGCTTCGTTTCTTTTTCTTGCCTTACCCTTTCCGCAATGGAGTTCTAGTGCTGGAGGGTAGGTTGCAGGGAGATAGAGCTGAGGCTGAAATATCTTGCGGTATGGCGTCAGTACGGTGGGGTCTGGTGCTGCTACGTGGCAAGGCCAGTTCCCTGATGCATTAGGGTAGGGGTGCTGCCGGGAGACTTCCAACAGGAGAGCACATGGCTGACCTCCAGCCTCGGGCCTGGCACCAGGCGGTCTCTCCTGTCGGGTTTCCCTAAGCTTCAGTTGGTCTTTCGTCTTGACAGATTTCTTTCTTTCTTTTTTTTTTTTGCAATCGTACAATTTTTCTGAAAGCTTAAGTGCTTTAAAAAAATACCGCCCCCTATAATTAAGTCACTCTTCAGAATCCTGGTAGTTAATGATCCCCCTAGTTAGTCAACTTTTGAATACAGAATTTTTCTAAAGTGGGACAGATGCCTTATCAAGTTATATGAAATAATTGGCAACATTGTATGCTTCCAGAAAGTACTTGCCTATTCTAAAACATCCTTTCAAGTTTACCATATATCTTTTCTCCTTTTTACCTCCCTTCTAAAATCATCTACAAAAGTTAAGAGCAACAGTGTCCTTTTGACAGCCTGTACATACTACCAGCCTTTAACTTTTGTAGATGCTGTTTAACTGCACTTTCACTGTTTGCTGTAATGTGGAAGAGTGAGTTTGAGGTCAGTGCTTTCAAATCCTTTTTTCCCCGTGTGAATGGCAGCTTCCGTCCTCGCATCCAGGCCCCCTTCCCCTGCTAATGCTGCTTAGAAGCTGCATCTGACACCTGTTTCTCACCGCGAGACTGGAAGCTCCACGGAGGCAGGGTTTTTGTTTCTTCTCTCACTGCTGTATCCCCAGCGCCTAACGCAGTAGCTTGGACAGGGTTGGGCTTTGAATATTTGTTGATTGAAGGAATGAGGGATGACTGAGGAGAGTTAGAAAAACTAAATTGTAATGATGGTTCTCCCCTAGGCCTCAATGTTTTAATTTTTTCTTTTTAAGATTTTATTTGAGAGAGAGAGAGACAGAGATAGTGACAGATAGCGAGAGAGAGCATGAGCAGGGAGGAGAAGGAGAAGCAGACTCCCTGCTGAGCAGGGAGCCCCATGCGGGGCTCCATCCCAGGACCCCTGGATCATGACCTGAACTGAAGGCAGACGTTTAACTGACTGAGCCACCCAGGCGCCCCAGGCCTCAAAGTTTTTAAAGAGAAGCTTGTACTAGCGAGGAGAAATGCCTCCCAGCGCTCTGGGCTGGTGCAGGGCTGAGCTGGGGCCCGGAGGTGGGGGGCTGGGTCCTGGAACGAAGACCAAGAGGTGAGGAAATTCAGAAGTGACTAGAATAGAAGAGACATGATTTAAAGCTGTATTTTTAGCAAATGTGCCTTCCTCTAGGGCTGGAAATAGTCCTTGGAAATTGAAGATAAAAACCACTTGAAAATAAAGCATTTTGCAAATACTGATGACTGCACATCCGCACTCTGCCCAGTCACGTGAACAGTCACTGACTGGGTGACAATGTACGTGCTCATGCCTTCCGGTGCTTAGAAGAGCCATCAGTGATTCCATAGTGGAAACAGACTTCTCCATTGAAGCTGGTTTTCTTTGGCTGTGTACAGATGTTCAGGAAATACCTTGTGTAAAATGGGTAATATGAAATATGCCTAGTGTCCTTAATCTGTATTAAAATAATAAATATTGAAATAGTCATTTCTTTGTTTGGGAAATGTGTAGATTCAGGAGCTGTTTCTTCCTGTTAGTGATCAGAGGACATGCTCTTCACAGCGGGCGCGTGGAGTGCGAGCAGGGCCTTCAGCCTTACCAGGTTATAAAAGAACCAGGAAGAACTTCATTCTGACAAACCATCTTGATTCCATAGTCTCACTGCCTGAAATTAGTAATACTTTATGCTGTCTTTGTTAAATTTTCCGTTTCTGAATCGTTGACTCAAAATGCGTATTTGCTAAAAGCATACTTGCTTTGGATTCTCCGGTTAGAGATCGGTATGTAAACGGACAGTTTGTGTAGATTGTTCTATTCCTGCAGCTCCTTAGATACTGTGTTAATGGTTCTACTCTTAATTTTAGTGAAAGTGCCAGTAATTCAGGAGTTCATTGCAAAGACTAGTTATCAGAAGTCAAATTTAAAACTTCGAATGCTTGAAAGACCTGGGAAGTTAATTTTATAAATGATTGATTTATTAGGAATTTTTTTTTTTTAAGATTTTATTTATTTGACAGAGTGAGACACAGTGAGAGAGGGAACACAGCAGGGGGAGTGGCAGAGCAAGCAGGTTTCTTGCTGAGCAGGGAGCCCGATGTGGGGCTCGATCCCAGGACCTTGGGATCATGACCTGAGCCGAAGGCAGACACTTAATGACTGAGCCACCCAGGCACCCCTGATTTATTAGGAATTTTAAAAAGTAAGCTTAGTTACAGTTAAGCGACTGCCTTCGGCTCAGGTCATGATCCTGGAGTCCCGGGATCGAGTCCCGCATCGGGCTCCCTGCTCGGCGGGGGGTCTGCTTCTCCCTCTGACCCTCTCCCCTCTCGTGCTCTCTGTCTCTCATTCTCTCTCTCAAATAAATAAATAAAATCTTAAAAAAAAAAAAAAGTAAGCTTAGTTAATAAACAAAACGACTTAAAATTTTGTTTTTCAAGAAAACCTTTCTTGGCCAAGTGATTTTTTTTTTTTTTTTTTGGTGGTTTCTGGTACATCGCTCTGAGGGCACCACCATCATGTGGAGGGAAAGGTTATTCACCCTCCAATTAGTGCTTTTTATGTGAGCAAGATGAGAGTTTTCACCCTGTCTTTCACACCCAGTTCTTTATTTGGTGCGTCGCACTGGTAGTCTGACATTGCCTGAGATTCAGCTGTGAAACGAGGCACAAAGGTGATGACTCTAAAGGGAGGGATAACACTTCTCAGAATACTACTTGAGGATTAAAATAATCATAGCTACGCTATGCAAAACGTTATTCCATTTAGCTTCAGTGTGGATGTGACTTTCATGTGGCACGTGGCATGTGGCAAGTAGAACGGGAGTGGTGTGCAGGCGTGTCCCAGAAGCGTGCTGGATGCCACTGGGTCGTTCTGCACCATCACAGAGTCCTGAGGTGTGCCCAGAAGGCAGAAGACTGTCCTAGTAGAAAAATCGATGCTGCTTCCATACGGGGCCTGTGTCATGAAGATTTAGAGAAGGAACTGCTTTGGGACGATGACTGAGCAAGAGACATTTATCTTCCTTTTATGCCTCTGGTTTGTAACCTCCTTAGCAGTAAGTGAAAAACTTAACATTGGCCTTGCTGTTTTCCTTTTCTAGCTCCCAAAGGAAGTGTCTTCAGAGACTTTTGACAAGACCATCTTAAGAGCCCTGAATCAGGGTTCATTGAAAAGGGAAGAACGGCGACATCCTGACCTAGAGCCCATCCTAAGGTAACAATTCAATGACACTGTCACAGCGGGGTCACAGACAAGATCATGGGCAGCGGAAGACTTAGAGTGGAGTTCAAGGGAGATCACAGAGAGATTTTTCTGCGGAGTACTTTTTTTTTATCCATACGTTATTTGGGTCTAGGCTCACACTAGGAAACCTCAAACTAATTACTTTGATCATTGGACTCTTTGGCCCTCTGATATCATAAATAATTGCTTCTAAACTATGCCAACATTCAGTGAACCTCCTGTTTTCTCCATAAAATATTTATTGAAAGAGTTCCTTGTTCAAGAGCTCAACTTTAGAGATGTTTTCTGTTTTAAGTTGTCAAGTAAGAAGATTAGGCTAATAGGTTGGAAAGTAAAAGGAAATGAATGCTGCTGAAGACCTGCTCTTCTGTAGGTGGTGAAGTTACGGTGGTGACTGCTTGGGCATGGTGGGTCAGTTCCCAGAGCGTGCTGCCCGTGGCGTGAGGAAGAGATGAAGATATGGGCAAGTGGAGTAAGGGTGGCCCAGGGGCCCTGTGTGGGCAGGGTGGGTGTGGATGTGGGTAAATAGACTCCTTTCATGATGGGAAGTTGAGGAATCTCTTGCCTAATGGCTCATATTTTTTCCTAAAGTAAGAGTTTGCTTAACAGTGGCTACACTGAGCGTGGGGGACCAAATGTTTGAGAGCAGAAGGGACTTACAGTGGTTGTGTGGGGATGTGGAGTACATCCTGGCCAGGGTGTGGAGTCCATTTGAGATTGAATATCAGTAAATGATAGTGATAATGGTCTGTCCTGCTGTGTGGATTTTTTAAAAAAATCTTTCCAGCATTTCAGGTTCAAGTGTTAGGAAAGCAGATTTTTGGATAAGGACTTCCTTGGATGTGACGAAAGAACACTGGGGCAAAGGAATTTAGGGAAGAGCGTGCAGTGTTTAAAAACGGACAGATTCCCAGAGTGAGGCTAGGTGAGTCAGACGGGAGCGTGAGCCGCAGTTGAAGAATTAGGCGTCATGGGAGTAAGCAAGTCATGAAGCAGATCAGAGTGTGAAATATCTGGATTAGGGAGTTCGGAGGTGGAGCCATTCGTTGTGATTGTCAGAAGTTTGGGGTATGGTTTCGGTAATTGTTTAATTGTTCCACTCACCCCTCTATGAGGGCTTTCCTTTAGGAGAGAGAAATTAAGGTGGTAATGGCCAAGGAGACAAGTGCTGTTTTACTGGAAATGTGCAGTTATTAATAAGTAAACTCAGGAAGAGCAGTGTTGGAACATAGATGCCCTAGAGTACCCGGGCTTGAGTGGGACTTCCTGTCTGCCCTTCCAACCTGAGCCGGCCCCATTTGTGGAGTAGCCTTGCTGAGGCAGAGAGCAGGCAGAGAAGGGTGTCAGTTGGCATCGTGGACCCCCCCCCTCGGCCGGTGGGGAGCCAGCGTTCTCAGGATGGGGCGGGGCTGGGAAGATGGGGTGAATGTTTGCTCCTCGATAGAGAGAAGCAGAAATCTGGGAAGGAGGGTGTGTTCATTGAGTGACAAGATCCAGGATAGAGCAGAGATGGAGGAAATCACTGGGGAAAAGGCAGCCAAGCAAAGATCCCAGTGTTGGCTGGTCACCCGTGTGGAGTTTGAAGTCCCCTGAAGACCAGGAGTGGAGCAGACAGTGAGGCAGGGGCCAAACTGAGTACGAATGTGGAAGCGTGACCCGGTGGCAGGTGTGTGACTAAAACCAGAGGGCAGAGTGCCTGGAAGGCAGCTTCACGGGAGTGCTCCCACCCTTGCAGCCCTCCACCCAAACAGGCTTGCAGGGTTTTAGTCCAAGTAAGGGGGTGCAGATCTGTTCATTGCAGAGCCTGGCAAATATTGGGGCCTCTTAGAGACAGTGGTCACCGAGTATTCCAGGGATGAGACTGGTGAGGTTGGGTGATGATGGTGAGGGAGAGTTGGTTGAATTCCTGGGTCCCCTGTGCTACTCAGAAGTCAGTGGGCTTATGCATCCTTGGGGATCTTGTTAAGGTGCAGGTTCTTACTCCATGGCACCGGAGTGGACACAGTCCTGCGATTCAGTAGGCTGTAGGAGATGCTCATGGTCCATGGAGCACACATTGAGTAGCAGGCCTTAGAGGTGGGTGAGCACTGAGACCGCTGCCTCTGGAGTGGCTCAGGAGGGAGCTTCTAGCTGTGATCCTGGGGGGTGGAAGGGTGTCTGGAGCATGAACCTGGTGGTCGGCACTGGAGGACATAGTGAGGATGCCAGCCAGCAGCCTCTGGGGTGTGGTGAGCGGCAGAGTGTGCGTCTCGAGGCCATCTCCTGGAGGAAGTCAGTGTGTGCTCTCACCCTGTCAGCGCTGGCTTCAGGGCGTGCTTTGTTCCCAGCCCGGTGATGCTGGCTGCAGGCCTCCGATTCCAGCCAAGGTCTTTACCTTGCCTGAGGTCGTGTGGCTGACCGGTAGTGGACTCAAGGGTCTATTGCATACTGCTCCAATTAGAGGGATAAAATGTAATAAAATCTTATTCAGTATGTTTGTATACAAAGTGCTCCATGTAAGAGTTGCTCAATTTATTTAGGTAGTTTGGGGCTTTCTTGATAAATCTGACAGATGTTCAATATAGAACATTTGGAAAATACGGAAGAGTAATGAAAAGATGACAGTTACTCAAAGAACTACTTTTGACATTTTAATTCTTCCTTTCAGTTTTTTGTTTTGCCTGTAATATTAGATAGGCAGTTTTATATTCTATTTTCCTTCTCAAATTATAGGCATTTTATATTTAATTCTTCAAGATCATTTTGAATGACTACAGAATATATCCCATCTGGCTGTGTAATCCTTTGACTCTTTGTTTTGGGGAAGAAAGACAATTTTCTGGGCTTCCCCCCACCCCCTAAAAAATACAGCTTTGACCATTTTTGTACCTAAAAAATTTTCCAGATTTATGAGTTACTACTGAGGAGAGATTCTTTGAAATTGATTTACTGATTTATGATCCTCTTTTTGTATCCCCGATAATACATATATTATTATTTTTCTTATGGAAAAGTTATGTAAATAGTATATACTATTAGTGTTTGAATTTACTTGTTTATTGGCTAGCTTTGAGTGTCATTTAAAAAACTATATCCTTATTTGATAGGAGAATAATTATCTCACTGGCTTAATGCTCATTTCCTTTGTTCATGAAATTCAGTATCTTTCTGTAAGTTTAGCCATTTGTATATTTTGTAAGATCATCTGTCCTTTACCAGTGTATCCTTGTGGGTTTTAGTGTTTTTAGATTTTTAACAACTTACCTTTAGTAATACAATATTTCTCAGTGATGATTTTTTAGATGAAGATTAAAATGCTATGTTAGGTCTATATGTCTTTGTTTCTGTGTTTCGGTTTATCTCTTCATGAATACAAAGTCATTCCCAGATTGTTTGTTAAATGTTAGGTACATCTCTGTAGCCATATGGGGGAAAAGTTAGGCTAGAACCGTATGTCATTCCTTACATCAAAATTAACTCTAGCTGGCTCAGAGATTTAAATGTAAGAAAGAAAACATGAAATTTATAGTATGTGTATGAAAGATTTTTCAGAGTATCACACAATATCTAGAAACCATTAAAAGTGGAAATTCAAATACTCAGAAATCAAATTTCTGCCTGATGTAAAGAAGAAAATATAAACAAAGAGAAGACAAACCTCAAATTCAAGAAAAAATACTTGTAATAATTTCTTTCTCGTTCAAAAAAACCTCCTAAAAGTCAGTAAGTAATAAAAATGAATAGTCCAAAGTAGGGAGAAAAATGGGAGCATATATGAACAAATAGCACAGAGAAACTGAATTTCAGGTGTCATTTTAACATATGCAAAGCTGCTCATAATCAGAAATACAAATTAAAAACTTGAGTTTTATTTTGTTTAGGAGGCCACTGTATTTTTCTAATTTTAAATTTAAAATTTTTTTTAATTTAGTGTTTTTTAAAGGTCTATTTCTTTTGGGTGGGGAGGGGCAGAGGGAGAGGGAGAGAATCTTAAGCAGGCCCGAGATCATGACCTGAGCCAAAATCAAATTGGATACTTAACTGAGTGAGCCACCCAGGCACCCCTAAATTTAGTTTTAATTGAAGTATAGCTGTCATACAATATTGTGTTAGTTTCAGGTATGTAACATAGCGATCTGACAATTATGTAGCATACGATAACGCTCACGACAACATGTGTAGTCACCATCTGTCACTACACAAAGTTATTACAGTATTATTGACTATAGTCCCTGTGCTGTGCTTTTCATTCCATGACTTATTTATTTTATAACTGGAAGTTTGTACCTCTTAATTGCCTTCACCTATTTCACCCATCCCGCTACCCCCTTCCCTTGGCAACCACCGGTTTTCGGTATTTGAACGTGTTTCTGTTGGTTTGTTCGTTTGTTTTTCAGATTCCACATATAAGTGAAATCATACGGTATTTGTCTTTCTCTTTCTGGCTTATTTCACTTAATGTAATACCCTATAGGTCCATCTATGTTGTCCCAAATGGCAAGATTTCATTTTTTTTTTAATGGCTGAGTAATATTCCTTGGTGTATACCACATCTTCTTTATGTGTAAAGAATCTTTCTGAAAACCACAGTAGTAAAGAGGCTTATGTCCAGGGAAGAAGAGGGCCTCTGGGAGTAGGAATGAGACTGGCTGTTCACTTGGTAACTTCTGAGTTTGGGCCATATATATTCTTCACTTATTTAAAAGAGCTTGAAGCTATCCCTCTTTTGAAACACGATCAATTTACTTTTTGCGTACACGATAGTTTCTGTTATTTTTATTGTTCCTTTAATTGTTTTGGATTTATTTTGTTTTACCAAGTGAGGCCAGGATCTAAATTTGTTTTTCTTTCCAAACAATGAATTGATTCTTTCCTATGTGACTGATTTACTACATTCTTAGGTATATAACATGTTCCTGGATTTTTCCTCTCAACAATCTCATTCTTGTTCCAGGATCACTTCTTCATTATTAGAACTTTATAGTTTATTA